GAAAGATGTCTTGTCGTGGGCTAGATCTATTAATTGTGACTACGTCAGGGTAACAATGAGTACGAAGGTCTGTTAAAATCATTTTACACAAGGTTATAGAACTTATGGACGTCCTGCATCAACGTTGTACATGCAAGGTTACGATTGAGTCGAATTGTGAGAGTAAAGCTAAAAGACCTCCCCAAAAATCCGATCTACACAGATCAAACTAAGGCGGTCAAGGAAGAGAAAGCGAACTAGTAACGAAAATGAAGTTCCAGTTGAGAATGAGCCCCTTTTGGAGGACGAGAATTTATTAAAAGAAAACATTGAATTAGATTATGTAGCCTCAGCTTGCCTGCAGATGCTGAAGCTAGGTTTCTTGCTGAAGCAGTTAGACAGACGGTGTCCAAGTCATGTGAAAGAGAAGAGAAAATATTTCATTGACCAGGCAACTTGTCCTAAAAACTGTTATCGTTACACAGGTGTAATTATGTCTAAGCTTGACCTGGTTTTTGAATTTTTAGAATCAAAGCTCACTGAAATACGTCTCGGAAGGGGTAGTAAGAATACCAAAAAGTCATCAAAAAATCTCACCTTAGTGAGAACAAGAGAAGGTGTCGATGTAAATTTTTAGCTTTTTTTGGCTTTGATTCTTCTCAAGCATGCATAATTTGCATTATGTGGATAACACTTCTTTCTCATGATCAGAATTACAAAAATATCTTCCAGAAAGGTTAAAAAATTTAAGAATGTAAGAATTATTACTTGAACTTTTCATACAAAAACCAAAAGATTCTCTGAGCCAAAAGATCACATGAAGTAATTACAAACACTGAAACACTGTCAAATTATTGGTAGGAATATTACCAACTGGTGTTGTACCCTTCATTCCACCATTATGGACAGGATCTATCCGTGACAAAGAAATTGTTAGGCAAAGTGAAATAAGAGCTCTAATGGTTTGGGTACTATGACATTGGATATTTGACACTTTTTGTGTATAAATTTAGTCCTGTGGGTCAATTTTCCTGTACACTTTTTAAAAAACAGCGTATTTTTTTCCCTGTAAAGCTGTTAACCGTCAAGGTAAACATTTTTCATTTGTTGTGAGTTTATTTGCAAGTTTTCGCTCTCCAATATGTATTTTTCCTCTCATGTTTAGTACAGTAGGCGTTTGGATCTTTTTGAATACATAATGATCACAATTACGCGTGACTTCGGTTACATGCTTGTAGAATCTAGAGTTGATCGGGGCGTTCACAGTGTTTTTCTTCCAGTGGATTCGTTTGTTTTGCCTTACTTACAAACATCTAGGAAAGGATATGTAGAGGGCTTAGCAGATGAACTAAAAGCGAGTTAAATTTCCCTAAATCAGCTCAAGAAATCCACACGATGCAAAATAACAAGCACTTGAGTGGGGTAAATTTATCCTTATTCAAAACTAGTCCAGATCTTTTGCAGGTTGAGAATTTTCATTTCCATTCAAATCCTTAATTTCACCTACTGTGCAGCTGAACATATTTGCATATTCACAAAAGCTCACGTATGTGCGAGCTTGAGTGTTCTGTGGTTGGAGGTCAAGATAGATAAAAATAAACAACATTTCTCTTTTAA